TTTTCTGTATGTGATGTAGGATTCGGATGTTCAGGTTCAACTAGCGTCACTGCTGAACTGGTGTATTCCCACGATTTAGACGCAGCTGTGCGGCAGCATCGTACTGACAGCAATAAACATCGGGCTGGAGGACGAGTAACGGTTGTAGCTCAGGCCACCTTCGTCCGACAGGTTCAGAATGGGCAGAGAGGCGCACTGCTGAATGACTGATACAAATCAACCATGCAATTATTGAACATACAAGCTATATGTATATATGCCTATTGCAGTATCAATACTGTAGAGACCAATCGCATGGTGCAGCTGGCAACAGCTCGTACGCTGGACGTATTTGCCAGACGTTGCCTTACTTCATGTAGACCAAGGTCCTGATAATCCAAACCGGACGGAACCCTTTTTTCTTTAAAGCCTAGTGACAGTTCGAACTTCTCCGGAAACAGTTGTTTTCATACTGACAGAGCTTGGCCTCCTTATGTGTTACTATCACCATATGTTCATCAATTATGAAGTTCACTGACAAAAGCTTAGACCGGAACAGGGCTAAACTTGACGAACAGAGCTTTCAAAAGAGTCCAAAATCGTGTGTAACCTGCGCCCGCAGTAGAAATAATCGAGAAGTAGATCATCGGAACGGTTCTGAGGCAGAAACAGCTGAGCTAATTTTGGTCACAGCCACTGCCGATGCCAGTATTATGATGCCCCAAGCATCGCATCACGAGGCCCGATTTTAATACAAGTATGACGACATGTCCGTGTATAGGGCAAGGAGCACCATCCAGGAAAGGGCTTCTTTGTCAACAGTTGAAGCAAGAGGCAGCAACGACTTCTGCGACAAAGACATCGCTAGCCCGAATGAGGAAATCACCAGGTCCTTTATCTCTTCGACTCTCACAGCAGACGGCGCGTTCATGATGCACCTTGCCCCGATATTTTTTGTCGAGCTGCCGAGAGGAACTAAAAAGAACTAACGCCGAGAGGCCGCGTTGGCGGACGAGCAGCCGACGCTTAAAGCGAAGCGGTCCTTCGACTGTTAGAACGATCAAACCTCGAAGCGCTTCCTTCGGCTTTCTACTGCAGCCGTTGGCAGTACAGTCTCGCTATCGCCTTAGAAAGTTTGCCGCGACTCGCCACTATTGTAAACGTGAGGTGGCGTCAGAGTCGGATCAAATCGAAGCTCCGTACCGTTGTTGTTGGGACACTGCGCGAACGATATTGTGGCAACGCCATTCCTCGGCAGCAGCCAACCAAAGGCAGGCCAAACATAACCAAAAATGCAGGTAGGATGTGTTATATAACATGTTATACTTGAGTGTGAACGCAGATTCAGCAGTGGTCGAACCACGAGTCGAAAGCCTTCTTGTGTTCCTGAATCGCTGCCGTACGCGAAGCTGGATCACAGTGTTTGCAGCAGCTGCTGTTGTGGTGATGCCGGTTGATGCTGGTTTTTCCTCAGTGGCTTCCGTTGCCGTTGTCAGCTCCCGTTGGTTCTTCTTGGCTTGACTTCCCTGCTGCCTCGATGGCTAGGGCAGCCGGAGACAGGCTTCTCTACCAACTACTCTGCTCCGGTGGCTTTTCCAGTAGTGGCTTCAGTGACTTCGAGTCGAGGAGCCCCGCCGGGTAATCGTGGATCACGACGAGGCTTCCGAGCCACGATTGGCTACTTCACACCTCGCGCCCCAACAGCAACCATACACAACAATAACATTGAACGTAGCAGACCGCTCACATTAACCTACAGGGAACCGGCAATTCGCCAATATTGTGGCATTTACATCGGTGTTCGCTTGAATAGCAGCCGTTCAACGGTAAAGTGTAATCAAGCGGCGTGCGGTAGTCTCAAGCTATCTATGAACGTACGTGCATGCATCATCATTAGGCGCTGTTTTGATACAAATCAACAATGGGCACTTGTTGCTGTTTGTCTGCGACCGATCCTTGTGATGCGAATATCAGCGCACATGACCAGTAATGATGTTACTAGTGCTACACGCAGAACAAACAGTTTTATATTGGCCTGTACGCTGATAGCCGGCCAACAGATCGGCTTATTACTATTACTGCACGGATTCTGGTCGTGGGTAACCTCACCACTTCACGATTAAACCCCCTTAACGGGATCGGAGCAAGGTCATGCCGTCCATTCATTTTATACATAAAACAGCCTGTAGTAATTCTGTTAGGCAACGTAAATTAGATGAGCGCATTACGAAACGTAGTTAAGACTGCTTCTTTTTCGAGCGATAAATATTCTATTATTCGGTCAAACTAGCTAACAAGTTTATAGCTGGAAAATGCAGCAAATTAGAAGTTGTGCTAACATTTTACACAACTTATTCTATCGGCATTTTTATGCGAAGTTTATAAGATACTATTCGGAGACGCGTTTGTCATCGACGCCACAATTCAAACAGCCATAAGACGTCAGCTATAAATACCAGTAAACGTATCACAATTTCAGTATTCGCTGCTTGTTTTGGGTTGGTCTCGTTCAGGCGCTAGCAACCACCGCCTCCAAGTACAAACATGACATTGGAGAGTAAAATAAAATCGTATAAGGCAATGCCAAGGTTTGCGAAACTCAGGCCAAAAGGATCTGGCACCGCCGCTGCTGCCGCGTCATGTTAATGCTACGCCGCACGCCTCCCGTCCTGGACAAAATCTGCCCTCCCTCCCGTTCGCTGCTCGTCCATCGCATTTATTTGACCGTTCAGGACGAACAAACAAGATAGCGATGTAGATGGCGCTACCACACGGCAACACTGCCTATGGCCAACAAGGCATCGGCAACCATGGCCTGTTATCTTCGCAACTGGTTGATAGACGTTGTGTCTATACGGTTTAGTCACATCGCGATGCGCGTGTATACGCATACCACAAAGATTCGTCTACAGAGGGAGAGGACGTCGAACGAGAAATTTCCGAGATCGAAAGACATTGTCCGAAAAGAAACGGCGCTTTAACCTGGACAGGGTCAAAGTAACTGCTGTTGCCACCGTCGTCGTAAATTAGATCACAATCTTGCCGTCTCTCGCTACTGCGACTGGCACCGGCTTCTTTATTTTTGTTGCCCGCTTTCGCGGCTGCTTGTTATAGCCGACCGACGGCGATATGGCAAGTAGGTACACTTGTAACGCATCTTTGTTACACTCTGTTCCGAAACCGTTTGGTAGAGCGTCATGCTGTCAACACCATGTATTGCCTTTCATCCTGCAATGATGTATCAGAACGATAATAACACATAACATGATCAGGCCGTAAGGGCAACTATGCATGAGGCTGGCTTCTGCTTTGACAGTAGACGATGGTTACATCTGCAGGTAGAACTTACGAATAGACGTACGCAGCGCGTTTCTTTATGTCCCGATCTGTAAATGCGTGTCTCTATGGATGTACGCATAAGTATCGGCTGAGGTCACAACATGACAGTTATGATCCGGGGTTGTGCGTATCATAAGTGATCAGTGAGCACTATTTGCTAGCATGATTATATATCGATCCCTTGAGAAACATCGTCACATCGCAGGCTGTACGAAAGGAGCAAATATGTATTGCTGAGAATGTCCCATTTAGGTTTTCGTTTCGTGTGCGGTACATGATCCGAAAGCGTTCTTTCAGTTGAAATTCGTGAAGTATACAAAATAAAGCTTTTGCTCTTAGGCTGGCAATTAAAATCGTCGTTAGAGAGGATAGAACCAAGACAGAGGCCTAATAAAGCATCTTGTTTCTGTAACTCCATTAGTGCCTACTCTTGGTGTATATACTCGCTTTCCAAATGGCGCTCTATAAACGTTTAATTACAGGCCAATAGTGACACAAAATTATTCATGTAGGATATATAAATTAGAGGGAGTGATAAAAAATGGCCCATCGTCCCAGTCCCATAGGGCGCATCTGAATCGAAGCTGGCTGCTTCCTGTAAATTTGTCAATAAAGCTCTTATCATCATCCTCATCATAAAAGTCTGGCGTGTATTCTTAACGTACTTCGTCGATCGCTTTAACTTAAAGGTACGGCTACAATTACAAAGGACAATGTACGACCATCAATAATATGCCGAAAACGGTTAGTTTTTACCATCCTGGAACAATGATATTTGTTTAGAACAAACGTCCTTAATCCTGCTTTCCTGTTTCAGGTTGGCGCGTGCTTCTGAATTCACTGGCCGAATCTAATGGTCATGCTTGTTACCCACCAATTAACGAACAACAGCACTAAATGCGGAAATATGAAGACGCTTTTATATATATATATATATATATATATATGAAAAAAAAGACAAACAACTAACCACGGACGCCCCAACGTCATCGTAATGAATATGTGTAATGATAATAGCAGTCTGGGCGCTCTCGCAGAGACACCCGAGGTAGACGTCAGTTCGACCATAGAAACCTTACAGCGCAACAATTAAACTTGGACTTCCTGTACGTCAAGGCGTATGTAATGTATCTATTGTCTTAGCGCTGCCCTTGAAGATTAGAGGGAAGTGTCGAAAATGTTCATAAGAAATGTGCTGCTATGATGTGTGACAGGATGGGATTACTACCTATAAGGAAAATCGTGTAGTCAGAAAGTTCTTTGGGATGAAAAGGCTAAGTAGCACAGATTTGGCTCGTGTTACGCTTGCAGTTGCGTGAAATGTTTTTGCTTTTAATTAGAATTTTATAAAAAACTGAGTATTTCGAAAAAAAAAAAGGTTTCATCATATATTTGTGTGCACAGCGTACCAATAGCGAGGTCACCGATGTTTTTAAGCTGCAAATACAATCAGCGATTTTCGTTAGACTATTATTTTTGCTCGAGTTCTCATCATATTTAAATATAATAAGCGCAGTGAACAGGTGTACGAAGCTTTATTTGAATCTTTCGGGGAAGGGGCCCCATCTGAACCTATGAGTCGACCATTCTACTATCTTCCATCCATTTACCTCATATAAGTCAAGTACGTCAAAGTCTTCTATGTTTAGATACACCGCGTTACCAAACATAGACCAACTCACCACAGAAATGCAATTGTTGACGGTACGATTCCGATTCACCACATGCACGTGAAAGTTTTTCAGAGCCCAAATAACGTAGACGCGCACTTGTTCAGATGGATTACTCACTGTACGTTATGGGTTAAGCTACCTGAAGGCTTATCTTTGTAGACAATCCGCAAATAGGCAAGCTCAGTAATCAATACGAGCTCAGAATCACAGCTGAGTTTCATACTATGTTAAAGTTAATCACAAAGCCGGTTGCTTCTGTAGTTTTCCTTCTCAAAAAGAATCACACTTGCGCAATGACTGCGCTACGTGAGGTTATGCCAACTTTCCACTCTTGGCCGGCTGTTGACGCTGTATCCATGAAGTCAATCAGTACAGAGACACAAAAGCGCGCGAACACGCAGTTCAGACAATCCGAACGCAATTCATTTCGTACAAATCTACACTGTGTTGCCAATCTTGTTCTTCCTTCAGTGCTAGCTAAGCAATCAGCATCTTCTACAATATGTCCTGTGCGCTCACGAACCTCTTGTTGAGAGGCACCTCAAGTGTCCAATGAATGCACCGAAAACCATCAGCCATCAGAGACAGCGCCATGCCTGCCGGCATCGCGAGGGGCTCTCTTGGCGTCAGGAGAGGGTGACGTCCAAATCTAGGAGAGGAGGTCGGTCCGTATAATGATTAGCGATCCTGCTACGGCAACGAAGAAGCACTCCTCACCGCCGTCAACAGTAACGGCGATGATAGTGGACTTCGGCTACGGCAAGGCGAAGACGTTGACGGCATGTCCTGGCTGTTCTACTCTCGGAACTGGTATCTGTTCGATTGAACGACAGGCAGCTGAAAACACCATATCGAGGTGGATAGCGAAATGTGTTTGCTACCAGGGTTGACCGTCCGCCAGGTTAAGCTCCCGAAACCCTGCTCCTTCTGGGGCTCGATGCGGTCGCAGCTGTAGTAAGAGTCGCGACAGGTAGACCAGAATGACGCCGGCTGACACTGGCCAGAAGGATACACGGGATGCCGGCTTTTGAGAAGAGAGCGCGCAAAGCGACTTCTGTACCTGGTACAGAAGGTCCGAGTGGTACCCTGGCGTTGTCTACGACAGCAAGCGAAAAAGCTTCTGGTGTTGCTCCCCAGCAGCAGCAAAGTCAGAGACAGGGCAACGGCACAACGTAGACTGGCTAGCGAGCCATGGACTCGGGCGGTGCCGGGAGATGGCGGATTCAAAGAAGGAATGGGGGGAGAACCTGTACAAAGAACGGTCCAACTGGGCACGAGGCTGCTAACGAGTGGGACGTCCACAGGGACGACGAATTTCTGTAGCTGCTGTTAATGATGATGATGGTACGCTCCTACCGTGTTTTTCGTCTGCTGGTCCGTGTTAGCTTCTGCTGACTTCTGCCTGGTCCCCAACCCACAGAATCAGAAGCTACGAACGCGCGGAACACACGAAAAGGGCAAAACCAGGCTGCTGAAGTCGGCTTATGAGCAGATACGCCAGCAATCGCTGCTGCCGCCGTTGCTGTCAAAGCTATGTAAAAACGCAGAGGACCTCGCCCCATTTCGTTGTTATATTTTTGGTATTCTTTTTGTTCTGCGAAATCTTCGAGTTGACTTCTGAATCGGCGAAATTCGGCTCTTGCCAGGCCTCTGGACGTCGTTTTCGCCTGGCCATTCATTTGCAGGCTCGCGGGCGGGTTGAATTAGCGTTTACCTGGGATCGCTGAATACGATCGGCTGATGGACATAGGGCAAAGGCGGGCAGAGGAAGCGAGGCGAGGCTGAAGCTCGCCGATAATGCCGTACCCGTGATAAGGTTTTCGGAGTGAAACATGGAGCTGGGCGGCACACTAGCACGCTGACGGCAATCCCGGAGCCGAATCTCTGCTAGCACTAATGCGAATTACGTGTATGTGTTATATATAGACAAGAAATTAAATATGTGATAGGTGGGAAAGCGGGTTTCGAAATTAGCTTTAATCCTCTAGCAAGCAGACAGCTATTGTTACCTGCACTGATAAAACACCTACCCGAGCCCAACTCATCTTTGGGCTGCGAAAAATAAACATTAATACAATGCGCTCCTAAGAAAGGGTGTGCATAGAAAATGGATAGATGGCAGCACGGTTGTTAGTGTATAGGCTTAATCGATTTGTATATGGTTATGTAGTGACTGTAGTAGAATAGCGTCGCGCACATGAAAATGTGTGGAAATGCAGCAGTACATATGGATATGATATATGACCTTACTGTTTGTAGATGACTAAACCTAAGCCCGAGTTTTGTTGTCCCGTCGACACGATAAAAACCGCCAAGCATCAAAGTAGTAAATTTCCCAGTCGACACTATTTCCAACAGCTACGTCAAAGGCAAAAAAAAAGTTAGCTTTTCAACTCACCAGTCCGATGAGATTGGAACACTCTATGAGTTGTCCATGTCGATTATGCCCTATTTGGACCTGATTGCACAATAACGGTCTTTCAAAGATTAACGATATGCAAAGTAAATTGATTTGTACGATAGGGTATCACCGCAGCAATGAAGTCAACATTTTATCTATTAGCGCAACTGAATCTACCGGCAAGTACGTTATATATAACTTATTGTTTCTCAAATGGCTAAAATGATTAAAAATCTTCCTGTAAAGTTATACTGCCGAAGCCGGAATATTTACGGTGCTGTTGCTGCCATTTGAATTGTTGGTGAGGTCCGAATTTTACAGCTGATTTTCCTTGTTTGTTAGCGCCCATTTTTGAGTGATTGCCAAGATAGTTTGGCCGTAGTTTTCTAACAGCAATGATATCCGGTAAATTTCTGTCTCTGACCTTGTCTCAGTTCTTTTTTTAATACGCTTAAGTCGTTCAGAAAGCCATGGCAGTTGTTGTCTGTTGCTTCAGTTCTCTACTTTTTTTTTTGCTCTGTACTTCAGCGTCTACTACCGTTGTTATTATTTTTTTCAGATCACAAAAAGTACTTTCTTTATCAAAAATTTGTTTTTCTTCCATTCGACATGTCCGTTTTTGGGGGGTAAATTCTAGACACAATTTTGTCCAATGGCATAAGGCTCGGAGACCAAAGAAGTTGCTAACACTATCTAATATTTAACGATAAGTGAATGAAACTTAAAGATGCCTAATACTTTCTGGATCTGGAGGTTTTACTTTTTTCACGTCGATGAACTAGCATAAGTATTGACAGGCATTGAAAGCATATTCTCTAACGTACTTGAGTTCACCTCGTCAGAAGACAAATTACCAAGATTCACGCCACTCTATATGTACGCAGGGTCCATAGGCAAAGCTCCTTAACGTGTTGTTAACGATTGTCCTTAACGATTGTTGCATGTACAGCCAACAATGTTTGACTCAATCCGATATATACATAAATCTGTATTAAAAAGGCACACATGATATAGTTTGAAACTCTAACTGAGTACTCTATTGTGTAGATTGTTATTTTTGAGCTATATCTGTAACCACCCAACTTCTATCATCTATAACCTACGGCCTAGTAGGGCTATCATGGAGCTTTTGTTTATCGTACATACAATTTCATACGATAATATAGCGATGTTGTATTTGTAAAAAGCGACAGCCTGTATTCGAAAACCCTGATGGTCGATAAACCTGCAATGTAGATGGAAGGCATTTCACAAGCACGAGCATTGAAAGAAGGAAAATTCATTTTTAAACAATAGAAATAAGCTTTACTTTTAAGATGACTTAGGATCTACGGCCATCTATCCACACGCAACATGCACTTGTTCCCCTCGATCGATTTCTTCTCTACACTGTTGAGCTAAACGAAATTATATTTCGAATTAAATAGCAAACAAGCCTGCCTTTCAAACTCGATATTCCTGCTGTAATCCCTTCTTAAAAAGTCCACTACTTCTGTAAGGCTGACGGTAATCACCTTGACTCAGACCTCGTGTAAACCCAGCGGCAAACGACAAATGACGGCTGGCAGATATGAACGCAGCGTACGCGCTCGGCGGGCAGTGAGACTCAATTGGCAAATCATTTCCATTATCTTTCTATTGCCATCAGAGTAATAATGGCTCCTCTAACGTAGCCCAGTGTATGCCGTCGTTCTGTACCTTTTTTTTATTACGTTCACGCGATCACTCATTGTAGATGTGCAGTGTGCTTTCGGGAGACAGCGTTTACACTTCGCACAACCGCCGATGTTACAACCAAGCAATCATTACCTCAATGGATTCAGTATCCATATATTTGCGATTCGTTTCATTTTAATCGCTTCTTATTCATGATTTCCACCATTCATCGTCAACTCCTTCATGACGATAGTCTAATACGTCTTAACCTGTTGCATGTGCGGCCACAATAGCTTTGTCACAGTACTATAGTAGGCTTGATTGGGGGTTGAGGAAGTTGGTTAGCTGGGCCTATCTAATCGTAGTAAATATGAAGCTATATGGTTACGTCTGGACCAGCAGCGGTCACAGAGCGCCACTGAACCAGCAGCTTGTGCTGGTGTAGAACTGCGAGGATAATGACAAAAATGGCAGTAAGAATAATATGTAGGGAAAAATGAAATCAAAAAGCAAAAGATATCTCTACGACCGTCAGCGCTGTCAAGCGCGGCGGCGGCGACAGACCCTTGGTGTGTCAAGCCTCCCCTCTATGAATGCAGCATAGTGAGCGCTCCGATTTTTCGCCCTCTAGCGATCAAGCACAGAGATGACAATGGATCATCTTTGCTTGGCTCTATGCCACTACAACAAGCTTCCAGCTTCGACTTTGCTTTAGCAACAACGACAATAAAAAGAAACCCGACGACCACGATATGCTGGATGAGTCCAAGACTTTCTTTTTAGTCTGATTGAATCACGGGAGCTATGGTCGCCCTATATAGATAACTGGAACAAGATTAAGGCTGCCTCTCACAGCCCCTCCTAAAACTTGTTTTTTGACTTAGCGTTTACCGATAACGCGTAACGGCCGGCCGTCGTTGTAGAGATGGCCACAGCAGCCCCAGTTGTTGTGGGCTGGGTTTGGGCGGTACGAGGAGCAGCACCTATGACTAGGGCTGACTTAATCTTTTGCCGATCGTTTACTAGCGGGTTCGCTTGATTCGAGTTTGGTGCGTCGGTTTCGTAGTAAGTCGTGCGTAGCGCGACGCTTACCTTTTCAGTGTCCACACTGAATAAGTAGTATTGAATTAAACGGAGGAGAGAGATGTGGGCGGGCCGCGCTGGGTTTTCCGTGCTGGAATCTTTGAGGTGAGGTTTTGGGTGGTCGAAGAAGAGACTCTGAAAGACGCCATAAAAGTCAAGTTACCCTACCTCTTTTAGGAATCCTACCATTGCCGCGGTGTACCGAACTATATGCTAGTCAAGTTGCTTTTTCGAGAGTAAACAAAAGGTATGACTAGTGAAAGCGTCGTCATCGAAATCGCTGGGGCAAATCGCTTCCGCTAGACCGCAACACAAAATCATGCTGACTTAGTAGATGAGTCAGTCAGCAAAAATGAGATCAGTAGGTAATGTTATCTAAATTGCATGACGAGAGTGATAATAGCTAACATACTGCCGTTTTGCCGGATTGTTTGTAGTTTGGATAATAGGTGATATTATTGATGTTTTCAGCTCAGCATTTGTGGTAGTAGATTAAGTTTGGAATACGATTGCTTCGAACTTACTGCTAGAGTGATCGTCAATTGACAAAAAAAATCTATCTTTTAAAAACAAATTTTATAAGTCGACGATACAGATCAAATGGGGTGGAGGCTGCTTGATTAAAATCATCAATCAAAAAATAGCTTCTGTAGTGCTGTAAAAATTAAACATATTATCTTTAAACCCATATATTTGCATATCAATTACAGTCTATTTTTGCCTTCTCCATAACTTCATTACAGCATCGTGGTGGCTTGAGAATTTCTTGTTGCTGCTGCCTTTAGAAAGACTGAGTCAATGTACAATTTACTGTTAGTACGTACTCCTCTTGAGGGACGCGTGATAAAAAAGAAACATCTACATAATAGATAGTAAGGCAGAAAAGTTTAGTAAATTAAAGTGCGAAATAAACAATAAGCTGGTTTAATATCTGTCTTAATTGAGTTGCGTTTACTGTCTGGCTGTTTGCATCACTAACACACAAAAAAGCTGCGTCCGTAGTAGTGCAATAAGGGTCAGCGGCCGAACAGAAGTTAACTTTATTTTAGAACTAATACACGAGAAGCAAGTTCACTCGCTAGAAAAAAAAGATGAACTTAAAACTAATCTCCCTGCATTAAATTGTCAGTGGCGTACGCTTAATTTGATTTTAGGGAACTGTAACTACCGTTCGTAAAGAAATGGGAGTTTTGAAATCTCAGTTATTAAGCGACGCGTGTTTTAAAAGCTCTAAATTTATGCCGCGCTCATCTTACGGAACTGTATTCCAATAACGCTTATTTGTTTGTAAAGTGTTATTAGTATGATAGATGTTTTAACACATCGTAAGTGGCTGGGTATGTTATACCGTTGTAGAATCGCCTTTGGCGATTACAACTGCATTGCCCATCGAATTTCCACTATGTATATGAATTTTACCAGCAGTTTTCCTTCGGTGCACAAAGGAGCTTATAGCATCGCCGGTGCGTTCCCCTGGAAATTCTGTTGTCAGATTCTGGTATCTTTTGTCATTAATGAATGGTGTTATGGAAGAAAAAAATGGCAAATTATGAAGTGTTACTCCGTTCAGGCTCTAAGCCAAGAAAAAAACAAAAATAAAAACGCTTTCATTATAATTGTAGGGACCTATTGTTTTGCAAGTATATTCCTCGTCTGTGGTAATGAATTCAATAAAACAAATGTTCTTCCATGAACGTATTTCTGGAATCATTCTTTTTTATTGCAGATAAACTACATGTTACTAATTTGTCTGTCGCTGAACTTTCTTGGTTAAAGGTCTCGTAGGAAGCCAGCTGGCGTTGGGAGTACGATATTCGACGCCGCACCTCGTGAAGTCCTCACCTATAGAAGCTCCTGTAAATTGAAATGCTTTTATTCTGATCAAGGGATATAGCTATCATTTCTCAAGACACAGCGGTTTAAACAGTAGTTTTGGTCACCCGCAATTGGATCGTATCACTTTGTCACAGATACGTAACACTTTAAGAGAAAACAATTGTGCGTTTCACCCCCAACGACGGTAAATTACTATTGAATGTTACCTGCTGTTTATAACTGTGCCCACCTAGAGAAATATACTGGCGTAGTAGAGGGGGCAGATTTTCTAATTCACAAGTACGGTACTAATAACAACAATTGCAAAAATTAGAAATATATTTAATTAGATCATAACAGTTACCTGTCTGTGTTCCGTTGCCTAAGAAAGCTCAATCTTGTACAATCAGTCTGTTTAGTGAAAGGATCATTATGGCCCATTATTACCTGTATTACAACGTATGATGATGAGGAGTTCTTGAAGACTGTTGATCAGATGGCAACGTTCAATCTTTAATCTATGTTTCCCAAATATTTTCAGTCACGCTAATCTCCTGAAAAACAGCATCTAGGAAGTTCGAATGATGACGGCCGGAATCGATGGCCCTGCATGCGTTGAGCGCAGCTTAATTTCAAACAGCACAAGAGATACACAGATGTTTCTTGTGCAGTCTCTAGATTTATCCGTTAGAATGGCCAGCTTTTGTCTGATACGCAATATACTCACTGACGAGGGATCATTATATAGTAACAAATCGATTATTCGCTTGAAAAGACTGGGGACTGTACTGAAAGGGTTTCGCTTCAGCCTATAAATATAATATACTATAATTTGCAGGGGAAAATGACATCGCTTATTAGGGGATCTCGTCTCTTTTGGGAATTCAAGCCGACTGAAGCAAACGTACATGTCTGTATATCAATCATTACGACGGCTGAAGGTGCGGAAGGCAATACCGCTAACCACTCACCAGGTTTGTACCCATCAACGACTTTCAACGCAAGAAGACATTATTTGCCTTGGTATTTTCAAAAAAAAAAAAAAAAAGTATTTTCATATATGGTTAGCATGGTTATAGACTAACCGCGATAAAGTTTCTGGCACAACTTCAATAACGCTAATAGTCTTTAACAAGCCAATGTGTAATTTGTAGGATCTAATGAGCGCCCTGTTGCTCAAAACAACATTCTAGCAACATTTGTCTAAGCACAAAGTCTGCCAGCACTTAAAGGCGTGACAAAGCTAACCATAACAGACGTACCCGTAATGAACAAGAAGGTATACGGAGGCGGACGAGTACAGGTGCGGTATCGACGCGTCTAAATTAGATAATAGGATAAAAGACTAGAGTTGGTTAGAGGGCGCTGGGAAGCGTATTGTAGATGTGTGAACAATACCACAATAGAGCGAAGGAAAATAGTCATTTGTTCAAGTTCCACATCCAGCCTTGAATCACAGTTACACAGTCGTATATTTAAGCAGCGTCAAGAAGCAGCGGATGGAGTTGTAGTAGAAAAAGTATTCATAGAATAATACAGAAACGCGTTTTTTTTTAACTATCTATATCTAGCGAATATGGCCACGAGACTTCCTAATTTTTATTACCAATTATTCATTATTGTTAATGATTTTCAACAGTCACCTTTAGTTGGAGAGACGAAGAAAATCATTTTTATATGGTAGTCGAGTGTCCGACACACGAAATCCATGGGTAATCTAACGCAAAAAAGGACCTGAAATTCGTAACAAAATATCCGGGCGGTCAAAACAATTTATGGCATCATGAACGAGAAAACTTAGACAAGAAATTGTGCTACTATAGCCTTTTATTGCGACGATATAGATGCCAAGAGTAACTGCTAAAAAAAAAAACCTTATTAGATCTAAATAATGAAAGGACGTTTGTGTGATCAAGTAATGTAAACATAAAATCACACCTATGGATGAAATGTAATGATTAACTACGATTTATCAGACATTCTGGGCTGGGCAGCGTGCATTAAATTGCCCAAAAGTCGTCAACATTTAATATATTGGGTGCAATAATTAGGAAACAATGCACAAGGCTACTTACAAGAACGATGAATTTGGGTAAGCTGATGAACGTCGATCTGCTCTATTATAGGCTATCTTTGACGATCGAACAGACATTTACTTGAGGAGCTTTGCCTTTAGGTATGACCGGCCACAAATGCTATCAGACATATTCCCGTATGCGAAAAGGCCATGTTTAAATCATACTATGATCAGTAGAGTTTTGAGCCGCTCGCAACGCGCTAAGACCACCCACCCATTATTTCCATTATCAATAACATACTTTCTGTTATACAGTTCGTTGCCGGCCGCAACATAAGCGGACCGGATGCCAAAAAAACTTGTTTTTATGGCTACAAAAAAGCATGTAAATTAGAGAAAGCACATTGATACGAATTGTGAACTTGGTTTCACGTTTAACTTAGTGCCTTATTTGATCTATGGAATCTCTACTATGGAATGTACCTGTTTAAAATTCTGCTATGTTCAGAAAAAAAAACTTTTCCGCTATAGTTTCTCCATCGTACACTTGATGAACGTAACTAGTTAGAAATATTCTGCAAAGACATTCAAAAGTGTCATTTAAAGATATACTTTATCCTAGGTCGCACATACTGAGCTAACCTGAGGCAATGTTTTCATCGTATCATAAACACGCCATCTGAACGCTCACGAGCGACCTCTAACGGATCAGGCAGGCTGGCTGGAAGAAACCCGTTTGCCAACTGACCACGCGAAATACTAGAACCTATGCAGTGTATTATCCATCATATCCAGAAACAATCGTTGCTGAATAGTTAGACCTTAACTACACTATTGTTGCTCGTTTAAAACTAGATAGATTGACTTCGTACGTATGTGTGCCTCTCGTGTGCGTCATTTAATCCGCGTGTTTACTTAGGCAGCAAGGCGACCCCCCTATTCAGCCAGAGTGATGGTGCATAATGTAAAAAAGAAAAACATAATTTCTATACCTATAATTGCTTGTTTCCACTTGATCGAAAACCAATGTCTTTATTGAGGAAGTGATATTTGCTTAATAAATACTGTATTTGGAACATAGTTGTACAGGCGAACAAACGGGACGGTCAACAAGTGGTAAGCATTTAAAACAGCCGTCGGACTTCAGGGCGAACCGCATTTGAAATTAATTATCTCTTCATACTAAACATATAGTAGTTATTGACATAAATTGCACATTCTATATATTGTAGCTCCATTCAGGGAAACCGCTATCTATGCCTTCCTTGAGCTTAAACCATCTACGCCTACACGTTTGTCTGAAAAGACCATTGCTAAAATAAATGTCCAATCATCCATAAATTCGAATAGACCAACTTTGGCGATCAATGACACTTTCAGACGTTGCTGGTACGCATGTCGACCTTTGATTTAGGTTTATCGTTCCTTCATTAAAATACGTAACCTTTGTTCCCATTTTGCCGCTCATTATAGCGCTGCATTGGCACAATGTTTTATGAGGATATTCTAAACCCACAGCAAAGAGCGATTATCGTTTAGAAATGATCCTGGCGCACCGATATTTCACGGGCTTCATGGTAGTTTCGCCTTACATGTCACCTCTCTCCCCGCTCAATTCTATTCGACTGAAATCTAGAGTTCCTTTACCTGGCGCACGTAATTAGAATGTTCACTCAGGACCAGGAATCTGACATGCAAATACCTAGATGCCAAGATGTCGTGTAGCAGAAGAAAATACTATTTACGGGTAAACAAATGAGGTCTCATCGCAGTACAAATGAAAAGAGAAAGTACTCATCATCGTGCCTTGATCGCGCACAGTTGCAGGACAAAGCCATTTAAAGGGCATTTTAGCAACTCGATGGCCTGGCAACGGTGACAAACTGATGAGTGTTAAGTCGATAAGTAAGTAAGTAAGTTAGAAACGATAAGTCGCCGGCTAAAACAAGACAACAAAGAAAGTGAACGTTATTTGAATTTACCGCCCTCAGCTACTGCTCTATCTCTACAAATCAAAGATTAGGCGGTAGCAGAATACAGATGCTAATGGCAACAGCTGAATGGCAGCGTCGCTCAGTTAAAAAAAACACGTTGCCAAAAAGAAAAGATGAAAAATATAGATTTCAGCTAGCCAGTGATATCGTCTTCCCAACGGACTGATATGGCTGAAATTGTCACACTGAGGAAGTCGGCGGCAGAACGTTGTCTGCATCACGGGACTGCTTTGCTTTGTCAATATTTGCATGAGATTCATGCGTCTTTTTGTCATCATCAGCGTCGTCGTCGTCGTCTTTGTCTTCCTGTGCTTCTGACGTCCTTCATTTCTGTTATTTTTACTCTCAGCAGTTCGAGAGAGTGCTTTCTGAATCATTAAAATGCGACGGTAAAGATCGAGTGCAGATTCGTAAGAAGTTACCAGTTCAACGAATGAGGCGTCATAGTTATGCTGATTTTACGTGTAATAAATACTTGGACAGCGGCGGTACGAACCAAATCAACTTTCTCTTATTTTTTTTAAACTAATAGTTAAACTGAGAAATTACGATGAATTGTACGGTTTATATAGATGTAAAATACTTTGTCGAAAAAGGACTAGGTCCACCTTAGGTGAAATCAAAAAGATTGGGCGTATACGTAAAACTTATTTCTAAATACCCGTGATGGCTTCGACAATCTGAAATCGTCTCGGTTGACTTCGGTACTTCAGTAGTCCAAGAACTGAATAGACACACGTATTTGGTACAAAAATAGTAAGCAGACGTGAACGATATTCTACAAAAACTGGCTTTACGCTTACGACCCTCGGAAATCACATGCTAAGATGACTCTTGGGGAGGTTCTCGCCACATTGTTAAGGAAAACAGAAATCTAATTTAATTGTGAATTATCATCACCAATTTAGACCTTTCTCCTAAAAACATGGCATGCTCTATACAACGTTACTTGGAATAATTTCATCCTGTTTGGACCCCATCCTCGAGTGGAGGCCAAATATAATCTATTCGTAACATCTCTCCCAATGCCAAAAGACGTTAACTGGTACGTCACCCAAAAATCCGCAAATAAGAAAAACAACTGATGAATCCTTGCGCAGCTCGAGAGCGTCATCAATTCGGAAGAAACAATTGTTGGAATATAAACACCGACATTTGCTCGGAGGAACATCTAAATACATATTCAGTCATTTCTAACTGCTATGACATACATAATCTATTTGTGCTATCGGAGTAAAAATCCCATTGTCATTACAAAAAAAATGCAGGATGCCGTTGAAAGGAACACTCGTGTGACACCTTGTTCGATAAGAATACTGACAGATTCTATAGATGCCACTTAATGCGATCAATGAGTAGATGTACTTACTTATTTGTTAACTTACGTTAGCTCCGAAGGAGGCGGTTATCCTCGTGTGGTACGAAAGAGTGTCCAGTTCTGTATTTCGGAATTATCGATTTTGAACTATGCGAAATTTGCCTGCTTTTGCTACAAAAATAATACCCAGATAAAGCCGCCGTCCAAATAAGCCTTTTGTCCTTCGCTTACGACTGTTTGAGTAGTACAGAATAAGTACGACTAGCACCTTCAGAGCATAACGTCTAGCCGCGACGGTTGAACTAGTTTCCGCCAAAACCACTAGCCATTAGTACTCAGTTTCTCTCTTAAGAGTCAATCCGAATCAACCCAGGTTTTTACCTAACAGTACTACAGGCTAATAAAAAAAAGTGGCTAGCGAAACCAAATCGTCCGGCCGATGTCATCCTAATCAGGTTTCCTTCTCCCCAGACGGGTTAGTGCCACCCCCCGGATCAGATCTTGCTTCGACTTCATTCTTCGAAATCCTTCGACTACATTCCTATAATCTTGCCTTCGGCGCCCCCCGTCGGGTCAATCCAGGGCATATACCATTTTTAAGCTTCAAATCTCAAGGAGCGGTATCCGCCACAGCCAAGGTTGCAT